ACTTTTACAAAATTTGGGGGAGGGGTTCTTCACATCAAACAAGGACATGTTCGCAAATCCTTCGTTTTTGAATCATTAAATTAAACGCTGCTAAATGTGCCATCCAAGAATACTTGGACAAACTTTGAGGGTGAGTACCTCACATCAAAAAAGGTAGAATCTATATCTATAATTCTCAAAGTGTGTGTGTGATCGGATGTTTATGCGTTTCCACAATTTTCATCCGATTTCGATGATTTGTTTTTTTTTTGTTTTTTTATAGATAATTCTTCAGTGCCAGTTTTGAGTCCAAATTACACATTCCCCTTCTCTTGGCTAAGGCTTCAATCTCTCTCAAGTGAGATTGCCTTTTCCGTTGTATAAAGCCTACAGCTTTAAAGCATTGCTTTCACTGTCATTTATAGCCGTTCGCAATTTAAGTTTTTTCATTGTCCTGTCAGTTTTTGCATTGCATTCACCGTAGTAATAAATAAGCTTGTTTTTTTATTACTCAACATTTATTTTTCCAACCTTTCCTAAAGTTATTCTAGCCTAGTGATCTCTGTAGCTTTGCAGTGTTCTCTTCTGGTATTTGCCCACTCATTTCATTTGACAATTCATACTTGCCTAAGACATGCCACCAAAGCCATGCAAATAAGGAATAATGAATCGTCTTTAGAACGTTCAGTTTGCCTGTCTCAAAATGCCTCTTGGAATGCTTCAATCAGAGCCACTGAGTCCTAAGATCAACATAACCATCAGCTTTCCATAAAAGCACACCGGAACGCTTCTGCTCGAGGCTGAAAATGATCAAATAACTCAACGGCTGAGGAGAAACGCTTCTTCAACTGCTGTTGTGCGTGAGGCTGAAACAAGACTGAGAACGCAAAAACGGTCCTTTTCAAGGCCACCCCCATTCAAATTGTTAACCCCACTTTAAACTTAAACTGCTCCAGTTGAACGGTAAAAATTCCCAGTAATGAAAGACCCGGTCGCTAGTATAAGCATAGGTCCAAAAGGCTATCGATGTATCTCAACACAGCAAGTCATAACAAATGTTCAAAATGTGCTCCGCTTGCTTCTACACATGCATGCACCCGTCGGATCATTGACTGGCGGACTCTTTCAAATACTCCTACACAGTGTCGAATGGTTTCACAGGCTGCTGTATAAATCAATTGTTTTAGGTGACCCCACAGATAAAAATCCAAAGGATTGAAGTCGGGAAGAATGTCCAGGCCCCGAAACTGGTCCTCTGACATCTACCATGAGAGATGGATAGGTATATCCATCTCTCATGGTAGATGTCAGCCAATGCATCGCGAACAATGTGACTTAAATGTGCTGGAGCCCCATCATGCATGAACCATATGAGTCTTCGTATTAGCAAGTGTACATCTTCTAGCAGTTCTGGAAGTGTGTTCGAAATGAAGTCCCTGTAGACAGCTTCTGTAAGATGTGCTGGGAAAACATATGGACTTATCAGACAGTCACCTACAATTCCTTTCTACATATTAATTGTAAACTGATGTTGGTGTCTAGCCTCTATTGTACCATGTGGGTTCCAATCCTTCCACAAATGTCGGTTGCGTAAATTTGTTATTCCATCTCTTCTAAATGTTGCGTCATCCATAAACAATGATGTACTACGAGATGCTAGGGCCACTTGACATATACTGATACCTGCATCCTCTCCGACAGACTGTAGAATGTGTTCTGCGTACGAGCGGATATCGGTTTTCCGCAATCCATAGTTTGCGATACCACGGACCCTGTCTCAGCAACGCGACGATAAACATCAGCAAAAAGTTAGAGGACTCGACTGCCTTTGGTCTGGAAACGCAGCCTAATACAACCGTGCAGTCTTGAGTCCTTTACCATTCGAGCGGTAGTATGTAAAAATCACATCTGCCTGCTCACGATATTAAACATTGTTAAACAGAACTACTACACACGTTAAACGTTGAAAACAGACTAGCTACAAATGTACACGAATGACAAATATAACCTAGTCTACATGGCAACAGTGTCATCTATCGTAAACTTTCTTTAAATGTAATAACACAAAAGAAAGGATTTGCAAACAAGTTTATATTGTGTCCTCGTTTTGGTGTGAGGAACTCACTCCCAAACTTTGTAAAAGTATTTTGAGACATATATATATATATATATATATATATATATATATATATATATATATGTGTGTGTGTGTGTTCTGAATGGTTTGTTATAATATTAATATTTACACTTTATAGCATTAGTTCAGGGTAACTTTGCCGTGGTGTGATTAATAACTAGCCTCACCGACCTGTAGTGTGCGAAATTTAGATTGCCAAAAAGTAACCTTGGAAACTTCACAAGCCGATTTTTGGAGATGCCAGTAACTAGTGTTCAAGTCCAGTGCCAAGTCGGAGTCAGTATTGAATGAGAACGTGTTGAGAACTATTGTTTTTAATCACAGATTTCCCGATGTGCTTTCACCGAATAATGTAAAAATCATCATTGATAACCAGCCATAAATCTCTTCATTTATTGAAGTGACCAGCAGAAGTGCAGGGAACAGCTGTTGTTCAAAACGAAGACAAACTTAGAGATTTGTTGAAACCTTGCTCAGCGATAGAGAGTCTAATAGCTGCATAACACAGGAAGTACAAAACTGAGAAAAAGACTATAGAGAAAAAAAAAAGCTGCACAAATGGCTATAAAATGTTCATGCTATCCTCTACCTTTATAAGAGCCAGATCAGGCCGAAAATGGAGTACTGTTGCCATATTTGGGTAAGAACTTCCCAGACTTCAGTTTCCAGTCTTGACAGACTTCAAAAGCGTCTCCAGGTCCTAGTGGGGAGAAGAATTATTTTCCACACTTCAACCTCTCAAAAGCGAGATGTGGTGAGCCTCGCGCTGCTCTGTCGTTACTACCATGGAAAGTACTCGGACGAACTAGATCTCCTAGTTCCGCCAGGACTGACCTTCACGACTAGGACCCGCCATCCCACTTACGTAGTAGCAAACCACCCACATTTCCTCTGTATTCTTATCGGTGAGAAGTATGTTCTACTCAAACAGCTTCTTCCCACAAACCACTGCCCTATAGAACAGACTCCCAAGAGGATATTTCCCTGATTTGTACAATCTTAACCCGTTCAAGTCTATAGTTAACCGTTATCTTCACCTTCTATCCATATAAACTACCCCCTAATGTAACCCTCTACCTCGAGTGGCCCCTGGTTCCTTGTACAGAGTGAATTTTACTGTAAAAATAATAAAAAAAATCTAAAAGGCAATAGAAAAAGATTGGTTTGGTCTAGTTTACGGCATATCAACCTCAATGGGTTATTTAATGTCGCCAAAATTTTTATTGCTGGTAATGTTTTTCTTCAAAAATCTATTCCTGGAAATATTTTTCCTTGAAGAAATCTATAGCTGGTCTTATTTTTTCAAAGAATGTATAGCTGTTTGTATTGCTCGTACTTTTTTTTTTTTATTTTTTTTTTTATTTTCCTTCAAAAATTATTGCTGGTAATTTTTTATTTTAATTACAAAGTATTTCTGGTATTAAAATCTATTTTTACACAAGTTTGGGTGTCGACTATTTACTCATAGCTGGGACCCTAACAGGTGCTACCACACCGGGTCAGGGTGGACATGGGGACGCCAGCAATTCAGAGGTGGTTCTACGCTCCTCAAAACCTCCTGATCAGAGGCTTTGCTGTTGGACGTAGTTTATCGTCATACCCAGGACGGGCAATAGAAAAAGAATAGAAAAAAAACCAAAAAGAAGCAGCCTGTGAATGAAAAAGTTTTAAATAAATACATTTTTTTTTTAATCCAAATTGAAGATGAAAAACTCGAGAAAAGTGACAATAAAAAAAAAAGAAAGTGTGAACAATTCATTGAGAGAAAAGGAGATAGTAAACATAAAAGTTTGTAAGATAGAACCTCAGTAGAATTAATCGGACTAAAACTGGCCTAAAGCTATGCTTTTGGATATCAATCTCATTAAGATGTATAAAACCAACACGTTACCAAGGTAATTATAAACAATTGATTAAGGAGAAAAATACTTTCGAGAAATACAAGGCTAAAGCTGCTAAGCTAATAATGCCAGTAATGTTGCTACACTAATGCTTCACTAATAATAACGCTGACGTTAACAATTTCGATATTGAACATACAATAGCTCCTACGAAGAATCTGAATGTGTAATCGACAAAACCGAAAAGCAGTAAATGTCATCTACATGGAAAGAGATAACTAATAATCAACTCTACTGAAGAAAAAAAAAAGACATGTTTGGGGGCAGTAATTCAGTGGGAACTGTGCAAGAAGTTGAGTTCACCAATATAAAATACTATGAACTTAGTAAAGTACTTTGATTTGACATTGGGCTATACTAAAGTTAGCCTAATAATAATGGCGCTTAGTACGCAACCTCTTACTGAGGAATTTGTGAGGGTAGTGAATTGGACGCTCATTTATTGCTCATATACTATGGCCTTATGCCTGCTTGCCCCCTCTTGTCAAATAAAAGAATAGTAGCTACCGTGAGGTGAGGTTTAGCAAGTTCCTCCTGCAGAATAGTTCTCTAGTGTTATGATTACCATCCTTACAGAGAGCTCACCCCATTCAAGTTTTGTGCCAGATTAAACTCAGTAAATATCAGTAATATAAGTTATAAGAGTAACGACTACAACAACGACCACGCCATAATTGCCTTTCACTGCCACCAATGGTGGAAAACAAAAAAAAAAAAAAAGCAGTCCGGATTATTCATGATAATGTCAGCTATTTCCAAATGAGAGTTTAATCAGTAATGGCTGATATAAGGTTTCTTTCGCCGGGAAAGTGGCGCGTTCAGCATAATTTATCCAATGACTCAGATTTTTTTTACATTCAGAATAGAGAATGTGGAAAGAGAGAGAGGAAAAGCTAGAGAAAGACGGGAGAACGAAAGAGAGGCAGAAAATGAGAAGTCGGGAGAAAAAGGTAAAAAAAAAAAAAAAAAAAGAAAGAAGATACTGCAGAACGAAAAGGGAGCAGGAGAAAAGAATGAAAGGAGAAAGAAAAGTGAAGGATGGAGAGGGGAAATAAAGTCAGGAGAACGAAATGCACGGGTGGGGTGGGGTAAGAAAGACGGTAAAATGAAACGGGCGATGTGGGAAGAAATAAAAGTGAGGGGCGCCAAGAGAGGAGAACGAAAGCTTCGGAGGTGAGCGGGGGCGCACCAAAAGAGGAGAACGAAAGCTTCGGAGGTGAGCAGGGGCACCAAAAGAGGAGAACAAAGCTTCGGAGGTGAGCGGGGCGCAAAAAGAGGAGAACGAAAGCTTCGGAGGTGAGCGGGGCGCACCAAAAGAGGAGAACGAAAGCTTCAGGTGAGCGGGGCGCACCAAAAGAGGAGAACGAAAGCTTGGAGGTGAGCAAACCCAAAAGAGGAGAACGAAAGCTTCGGAGGTGAGCGGGGCGCACCAAAAGAGGAGAACGAAAGGGAGGTGAGCGGGGCGCACCAAAAGAGGAGAACGAAAGCTTCGGAGGTGAGCGGGGGCGCACCAAAAGAGGAGAACGAAAGCTTCGGAGGTGAGCGGGGGCGCACCAAAAGAGGAGAACGAAAGCTTCAGGTGAGTGGGGGCGCCAAAAGAGGAGAACAAAGTCTGGAGGTGAGCGGGGCGCACCAAAAGAGGAGAACAAAGCTTGGAGGTGAGGGGGCGCACCAAAAGAGGAGAACGAAAGCTTCGGAGGTGAGGGGGGGCGCACCAAAAGAGGAGAACGAAAGCTTCGGAGGTGAGGGGGGCGCACCAAAAGAGGAGAACGAAAGCTTGGAGGTGAGCGGGGCGTACCAAAAGAGGAGAACGAAAGCTTGGAGGTGAGCGGGGCGCACCAAAAGAGGAGAACGAAAGCTGGAGGTGGGGGGCACCAAAAGAGGAGAACGAAAGCTTCGGAGGTGAAAGGGGGGCGCACCAAAAGAGGAGAACGAAAGCTTCGGGGAGCGGGGGCAAAAGAGGAGAACGAAAGCTTCGGAGGTGAGCGGGGGCGCACCAAAGAGGAGAACGAAAGCTTGGAGGTGAGGGAGCGCACCAAAAGGGAGAACGAAAGCTTCGGAGGTGAGGGGGGCGCACCAAAAGAGGAGAACGAAAGCTTGGAGGTGAGGGGGGGCGCACCAAAAGAGGAGAACGAAAGCTTGGAGGTGAGGGGGCGCACCAAAAAGAGGAGAACGAAAGCCAGGTGATGGGGGCGCACCAAAAGGAGGAGAACGAAAGCTTCGGAGGTGATGGGGGCGCACCAAAGGAGGAGAACGAAAGCTTCGGAGGTGGAGAGGAGCCACCAAAAGGAGGAGAACGAAAGCTTCGGAGGTGAGGGGAGAGCGCCACGAGAAGAGAACGAAAGCTTCGGAGGTAATGTGGGGGGACGCCCCTCGAGAGGAGAACGAAAGCTTCGGAGCAGGGACGGAAGTTTCTTGGGGTGAGAAAAATCATAGTTTCTGGAAAAGGTGAGCTGCATGAAACAAAACTAATGTTATGTGGGTGTGGTGGGGTCGTCTGAATATTATTATTATTATTATTTTTTAATCATATCACCCACTATGCAAGTAAAGCCACCAGGACAAAAGATGTGTTACTGAGTGTGAATGAAGAAGGGAAATTAAATGAGAAACATGAAGAACCTAGAACACTAGAAGAGTTACCAAGACGACATTAAATAACGAGTGACAATGCATTTAAATTTTTGATGATTAAAGTTGGCTCTAAAGCATGGAACTGGAATTGAGTTCCACAGGCGAGAAAAGAAACTGTTAGCATAGAACTTACGGTTACATCTATGACTGATTTGACCTTGCCGCGAATCTAATATTGCACTTAGGTACCATAGCGAAGAGTTTATCCGAACAATTACCATGAACATATTTATAGAAAAGGCACCGGGAAGACACATTACGGCGGTGCGAAATTGACTGAAGTCGAGCCACCAGGTCAGAATATTACAGATTCTTTGGATTTTATCAAGAATCTCTAAATACACAGCATATTGTAGCAGCAATATTATAAACATTGGTAAATAGCATGTTTTATCAAGGTCGCATACAATAATTACAGGAAAATATTTTGGAACTCCTATTCACCTGGCCTTACACCAACCGATTATTACCTTTTCACTTGTAGCAAAAGGCTTTGATGGAGAAAACTTTATATAATGAAACTACATTTAAGTGTTCGTCGAAGACTTTGTATCAAAACCTGCCATATTTTACTTAAAAAGGTCTCGAAAACTGGTAATAATTCATTGCAAATAATGCTGAATATACAACTGAATAAAATGTAATTGCACTTTATTTTTTGAACAGTAAAATTGATAAAAATAATTTGTTTTTGTTCAACCCACCTTGGTACAAAAATCAAGCAGCAACTCTTGAAACGACTGATCTTAAAAATGACAGGTTTTAATCTGTTAATCACCGATAACAACACACCATTTCGTCACTGTTTAAGAGATATCAAACTGAATAAATAGGCGATGAGAAAGACGAATTTTCTAATGAAATTAGCAGAAAAATGTTTCCATTTTTAAATTGTCTATTCAAGAGGAAATAAAACAACTTTTAGCTCTTTATATACAAACACAATTCAGTTAAATACTTAATTTTGATTGGAAGAAACCAACTAAAATTTCGGCCATTCATAAACTTAAGAATCCTGCTGAAAATAGAATAAAAATAATGTCAGTCGTTGATTAGGTAGACCAGTGTCTTCTGAGAGAATAAGAGAACTAGAAGACTTGCCCAACTATTTCGAACAGATGGTGGAGCGCTTCCAATGATCCATTTCCTTTATGCACAACTACCTTGGGATTTTGACAAGATATCTTGTGTTCCTTTCAACCATTCTGTGGCCTTACGTGTTAGACCGTGTGGTGCGGGGACTGGGACGCGATCGGCTTTATCTGGACTATTTGGAGGTGTTCTGCCAGCAGGAACGTAACGGAATAAAGATTTTCGTTCCTCCTCAGTAGTTTAAGGAGTATATTTGGATTCCGCACAAGCCTGTACTGAAGTCGGATTTTACCTCCGCCATTAAACTTCGACAGGTATTAAATCGTGGCCTCAAGACTAGTGACTCCCCTTCCCTTAACGAGGTTGCCTACCAGGGAGTGAACCTTATAAGCGATCTGTTAATTTTACTTCTCACCTTTCGAGCAAATAACAAATGTCTTATTGACATAACAGGAGGGCCTTCTTAATGATCCTTCTGGAAATAGGAGGAGGACAAGACCAAATTCTGCTTTTTTTTCTGAAGGGCAGAGGTCATCTTCGTTGTTTCAAGTACGCCACCATCATTTTTAGCTTCATCTCTGGTCCCTTCATATTAAGTTTTATTCTACTTTACCATGCGGCTCAGTTTCCCATGGATCCTTGCAGACGCATGATGACGAATCTGGTGATGACCGGTGATCGTCCAGATGAGCTGTGAAATCTATGCCGTCTCCGTGAAGCGACTGCAACAGAGAGATTTCAAGCTGCAGTCTTGCAACTGAGTAGAAATCCTGGACAGAGTGGAGGATGGTGGTACTCTGAGAAATCATAGAGCTGCTTTGGAGAAGGTGTCGGCATATCGTTACAGCCTTCTCTCTGATACGCAACGTATCGCTCCCATTGAATGTGATGCTAACTCCTCTACAAACTCTTTTGGGTTCTTGGCGTTGTCACGGTGGTGATTAGTGAAGTGACGGTGTTATCAGGTCGGCTATGGTCAAACAGTGATGGGGCGATGCATGTTCACTCCTTGAAACACTTCTTATTGAGATGTCCCTGAGGAGGCACGGTGGAGTAATGGATAGCGGCTTGGATTGAGGAATCGCAGAGCCGAGTTCGAATTCCAGTCGAATCCATTACATTCACTTACGTGCTAATACCCTTGGGAAAGGTATGAATCCTCTTACTCTCCCTCCAGCTATGGGTAAAATAGCAGGACAGACTGGGTTCTATAGCCTTGGATGGCAACTGGTCTAGGAGGAGGACAACTCTGAATTCAAAACCTGCAGAGGGTCGTTTGGGAATCTTGTGGCATTCGGTGCACCAGGTCTCTGTATTCGTCCCTTCAAAAAGTGTGGATGGTCCTGCACGAGGCATTCACCACTATAATCAAATCTCATGTGCCGGTGTCGGGCTGCCGGTTTCCTGGAAACTGATCTGCTTGACCCTCATACGTCGAATCTCGACGGGAGAGTCGATTATATATATATATATATATATATTCTTACTGCCCATAATATATTTTATACATAAATGCAATTAAAAGCTTTTCTAATTAAATAATGTATTGGTTTCATTGCATTTTTATTTTACGATTCAAAGCTGATTTTCTGTAACTGGTGTCCTCTTTGACAAAAAAAGAACCAGGATTTATATTCTCCGATTTGGTGATGGTGGTTGGGGGGGTAACAGTGCTATAGAAATTTACAAAGATATTTTAAAATAAGAAACATTTAAAAATTAATTCATTTGTGCATAAAAGTTTCATTAAAATTATCTGATTTTTTACAAGAATTTCCAAATTCGCGTGCTTTGCACTGCAAAAAGAAAATTTTCACATTGTAATTTATGCTCACCTGTTGACGCAAAAGAAACAATATTTTTAACCAAAACTTCGAAGGTTCTAACAAGGATAAAAATATAACTGAATAAGCAAAAAATACTGTGGACTTTCCTCTTAATAACAAAGATTTGACGATAAAATTTTGCTTTTATTAAGTTTGAGGCATATTTTTTTTATCATTTATGCTCATTTTTTACAGTCTTTAGATAGATACATACAGTGATATTTTATATATATATATATATATATATATATATATATATATATATTCTTTTGCAATCATTTCTTCTGAAAAGTGTTCAGTGTATCTACCTCTTTTCTGCTAAACAGACATCTTTTCTTGGTACAATATCTTTTGTAACAGTTTCGTGTAAGAAAATAATATTAAAATTCTAACAAGAAAATATTTTATTTATATGCGGACTATTGTCCTCATCTTTATTATCACAAGTTTTCGGCCGTTGTGCTCTCTGGTCTTCTTTACGTGACTGTCGATACAAGTAACCCTCCGAGACCCAGCCAAGTTTCACGAGACTAGGATACATGCCTTCATTCGTAGCGTGAAACAATGCTATTGAAGGAGGTGGTGACTGTCTTAATAGAGAAGTTAGCCTGTGATGTATAGCTATATCTTGATGTACGATATGTTTGATTGCGTTTCTTATTTAATAAAAACACATTGTATTACTTTTTGACAATCTGGTAATTTGTTTAAATAATGCATCGAATAATTGCAAGTAAAATAATACACTAAAATAAGTAATCAAGTAATCGTTTCAAGTTTTCTGAATATCGGTGTCAGTTACTACTTGCGATTCAAGACTTGACCCGGTATAAAATACTTAGTTCAGCTTGTCTGTTTAAATTTGGTAGATAGATATAAAAGTAAGCAAAAAAAAAATGTAAATAATTTAGAAAATATACTTTTAACCGCACAAAATAACTACACAATAAAATTAAAGAAATTCAAAAAAGCTCAAAGTATTTGTTTACGTAGTAAGCCGTTTGATGGAGCATCTTATCTAAGAGAACTTTTCAGACAGCATATGCAGTGATATACTCGCTTTCATGGTTTTGGAGTTAAATGATTCCTTCAAAAGAAAGACTTTACAAAAATTAAAATTCAGGAATATTGTTTTTCATGTATATTTTCATGAAAACAACATATCAGCCGATACATTCTTCTGTCTTCATATGAATCCAGTCTTTAATACCATTTCACACTAACATATTTGTTATAAATACGCAGCAAAATAGTGTAACGTAAAAATTCATATTTTTGGAAAGGTTTTGGATTAAGCATTTTCATTATTATTGAGTGTGTGAGTAAGCAGCACGCCAACAAAGTGACACTGGGGTACAAATATACGAAGCCCAATGTATCCACAATGGCATCCAATCTGATAAGGGTATATCAGGCACACGCATCATAGCCAAATGTGTACGATATTGTGACAGGTTATCATAAAAATCATGTCTATGTAGTCGAAGCACAGTTAGAAATGCCTTCAAAGTCGGGTAGCCCAGTTCCGTCAATACGGTTTCCGATTGAGGTCATGATGCTCCCAATACTCACGCTCATGAGGCGCAGAGTACATTCCCCCCCCCCGCCGGCCAGGGGACATATCCAACTTGTTACGGTCAGGCAACAGACTAGCACTGAATAGTATACTTACTGCGGCCCATCTTAATTCACCAAGACAAAACATGTACATTTGAGATCCCAAGGACTTTATTTTTTTTTTTTTTTTGGTGTGTGTGTGTGGGGGGGGGGCTTTATGCTTGCTATACACTCCGATCGCCTTCCATTTTAACAGCAGAAGAGTATCAATGTAAAATGTTATAAAAAGCAACAAAGCATAGAAAAATAATTACATTGTATTTTTTAAACCAAAAGATAAAAATAATCCTACCAAGATATTTAAAAACGCTTTAGAAAGCCTCTAACTTAAATTTTATTTTCTCAATGAAATTTCAGTTGATTTATTTCGACTTTCCACAAGTCGCGTATATAAAACGCTAATATTTTTTAAGTCAGTTAAAATGAATAATATTTTAGTTATTCATTACTTATCTCCCTTTTCTTTCGAATAATCAGCATGACATACGCCCCTAACATCTCCCTCTCCTCCAAATTCCGTTTTTTCTATATTTCTACTCCATCTCAATCTAATATACTCTTCTATCAACAACTTACACTATTTCTCACGAATATAGTTGTTGTAATATTAAAATGAAATAGAAAATCTGAAAAACTCTACAAAGAAAATCAGACAGAATTAATCCAAACTTTAAACATTTTCCTGGCGATTACAGCAGTTTTATGTTTTGCAGCAGTTCGTGTATAAAGAAATTAGTCAAGAAAATATGTTGTATGCAAATGAGGTATACTAGCCATGTTTGCAAGCGGCAACTAAGTGACTATAAATATAACCGAGTAGTGAGCAATAGTTAAGAAGTCCGCCCCTGACTGGCATTGTCACAGTCACAACTTGTGTAACTATATAAGATACTTGTATGAACTTCATCAGGAAACTTAGTAGAACAGCACAATGTGTACCATAGTTAGGCCGCCAGCAGGCTCACATTGACTTCTTTTTGTTAATAATATATTTTTTATATATTATTCTCATTATGAATATATTTTTTTATAAAAATATATACAGGGAGAGATAGAGATATGGTGAGCCTTGCATAGTTCAGTAGCCCTTGGAATGAAAAAAGGAGGTACTTATCAAAAAAGACTTTTGAACGGAAGTTTCAAATTAAAACTGATATATTCCCCATTAAATAAATCTTAGCATTAAGTAACTCTAAAAGAGTTGAAATACCGAATATATATATATATATATATATATGTGTGTGTGTGAGCGCGCACAGGTGTACAAACTTTCAAATTTACTTTTCTACCAAAATAACATGGTATGAAATTTTATTGGACCCACATTACTTTAGCGTTAGCTTAGACTGACGCATTTTTTCCACATACTTAAACTATAATTTTGGAAAGTGAAAAATTCACTGAAATTGGTTGAAAATTTTGCAATTTTTCATTTGAAGTCAGGAAAATACTTTAAGCAAACTGGTCACAATATTTGGAAGAAGAAAGGTGTCAGTTTAAACTGACACAGGAAGATTATGAGTTAATATGCATCTCGGACGTGGGTTAAGAAACGAAAAGACTCTGAAAAAAAGAAAATAAATATGGAATCAATCACTAATTTAAGATACATGTTCAAGTCACCCATCTGCTAAAAAATCAGATCCAAAATAGAAATGAAATTATCATTGAGTAAACTTATCACGATGGTATAAATCTACTTTGACAAAACCATTCTCATGTGAAGTATCAGAGATCTTCGCTGAGTGTGCCATTACTTTGGCTAAACTAACTTGATTTGGATCACATGATACAAAATCTAGCTATTTGAAAATAGCCTAATAAACAAATGAAATTAAGCGTCATAATTTGCTGGCGAGTGTAGCGGGGGGAATTTGAGACAAACCATTTCCTAAGTAGCATGTCTGAAAATGAAGGGTTCAAAATAATTTCAACTTAATGTCATGTGTTTTCATTAAAGAAAAAAAATTATTAATACATATTTGTCCAGCGCTTCACACCCCAGGTGGCTGTTCCTGCCTCGACGAAAATTCTACATATGGTACTAGTTAGAACTTTATGGAAAAAGTCCACAATACGAATGAGAAGTGAAGATGTGAATATTTGGTGATAGTAAAAATATTCAAGCGAAGTTATTTTGATTAACTAGGTTAAAATACAGAGCAGAGAAGACCAGCTCTCCCTGCTCCGACAGATCACATATATACATACACACACACACACTAAACACTAATCCTCTCTGCTACCGCAGTTTCAACTAATAAATGGTTTATTCAGAAAAATGGTATCAAACTGTCTGAAGAAATGTTTGGTGCGTTTATTATTTTAAATACCGTAATTAGAATATTGTTCTATGTTTAACACCA